CTCGCTTAACCTACTATAATCGGTACTATTCGCATTTTCATCACTTTCGCTTCGCTCGCATTCTCATCGCTCGTTTTCGTCCGATACCACCATGTAGTCGATACCAGTACTCATTTTAGAGCATCGAAGGGGGTACTCGATGCTACTCAAAGTATCGCTAGAAAATACTCGATTGTACTTGTACTTAAAAGTACTCGGACGAAATATTTCAAAACAGTTTTGCAATCTTTTTTAAATAAATAAAACCATTTTTTATGTGTTACAAAGACATAATTTAATGCAAAAAGGCTTTTTAATATGAAAATATATGCTTAATAATAATAGATTAGCGCTTACACAAATGTTAGAGTTTGGCCGAGCTTCTTCTCTGATTTATAGCGACTCCGAACGGCGATTGTATTTTTATGAGAAGCGGTTTTTCATGTCAGAAATACACTCGGAGGTTTGCCATTGCCTAACGACGGACGACCGCTGTTAAGAAAAACCCTTTTTTCTATATTTTTTGCGATGTTGCTTTGACCAGGGTTTGAACCCAGGCGTTGCGGAGTGGAAGCGCGCACTGCTTACCACTACTTATTTTTAATATATACATACATATAGGTAAATACATATTCTCTCAACTTTTATATGTTAGTTACAAAGATATAATTTAATTTAGAAATGGCTAATTTAATTCAGAAACGGCTTTGTGAATATGAAAATATATGCTTATTTTTAGCATAAATATGTATGTATATACGTATTTTTCCTGCGTAACGTAGGCTATTGTTGTATGAAATACCATAAAGCTCCAGCACAGTGTACCAGTAGAAAAGGTGTTTGTTGTTGTAACTTGTTTCGTGGTGAAGTCCTTTATGGGGATAAACTTTCCCCGCAAAAAATTTNTAGTTACAAAGATATAATTTAATTTAGAAATGGCTAATTTAATTCAGAAACGGCTTTGTGAATATGAAAATATATGCTTATTTTTGNTAATATTGTGGATCGGAATGCTCTGAGAGCTTGTGGTGAAATGTACTTTACCAAAAAAATGCAGCCCTGTTGGTTTTTATTTCTGTATCGCATCGCGGTGAGTTTCTATTTCTTGGTAATTCGGTTTGTGAAAAGGTAAACAAATGATTGAAATTTATTAATTTCGTGTATTTACAATGAATTAATGCAAATTTCTTTCTTTTCAGACCATAAATTCACAGCTGAAGAGCTAATTAAATTTGTGCCTAGTGATGATGAAGTAACGCAGCGGCGCCTGTAGAAAGTACGGAGCAAATGAGTCGTGAAAATAGAAAGCAATTGAACGAAAAAGATAAGACCAATGACGACGATTCAGAGGATGAATTCGTCGCTGGGCTGGAAAAGAAGAGCATAACGTAAGTTAAAAGTTCCCTTTAAAAGAACCTATTTATTTTTAATGAATGCTTGCAGCATTGATGACATATTGGCAGATTTCGGTTCTGATTTGCCAAAAGATATGGATGCGGATAATCGCGAGCCTAAAACGAGCGCCTAAACGCGGCATGGAAGTTGACCATAGTGATGGTATGTCTACCGTGATTATATTAAGGAGTCATAAAAGTCATTTACTCTTATTATCGCAGTCTTTAATACAGAAACAAAAGAGGAGGAACTTCCAGCTACAAGCCGCAAACGTAAAGCTACCGATGCGATTAGTATGCGTTCGGGTAATACTTCAGCTTCAAAATATGTAGCCGGTTCCAAAGGTATTCATCGGCCCTTAGGCGCCTCCGGTAGTGACGCAATATAAATAAAATCCGGCTACTCTGCGAAGTCGGCCAAATCTGGCAAATCTACAGCGGCTTCAGCATACGCCGGCAGCGAGTATACAACTAAGAAACCTAAAGGCGATATGAAGAAGAAGGGCAAGCTCGATCCCTTCGCGTACATACCACCAGGGTTGCCACTGACGAAAAAAAATATTTACCATCCACTTGAGAAAAATCTACCAAATCTAAAAAATATCTACCAATAAATTTTTTTATAGTTATTTTAATAAAAACTATAGCTTTATTTTTTTCTTTTTTTCAATTAAAACTAAAGTTTTGTTATTTTTTTAGTTATTTCAATAAGAATTAAAGTTGTTTTTAAGGAAATTTTTATTTAGCTATTTATACGGTATTTGAGTCATATTATTGGCATATTCGCAGTTTCTTTCAAAGCGGAAGTGATGAAACTAAAGGCAACAACGAAACTTCATAATTTTAAAAACTTCAACTCGAGTTATTATAGACAAATACTTCTTCTTCTTTATTGGCGCTGTAACCGCCTATGCGATTTTGACCGAGTCCAAAACAGCACGCCAGTCATTTCTCTTCTGTGC